TCTCCCTAACTATGTGAAATGCAATGGAAACATCAGCTCTACTCATATCATTGTGGGAAAAGTCGACTACTAGTCCTTCATCACCTTGACCGAAATTGGGTGAATACATCTCATATTACTGATTTGCTGATTGGTAGTCTCGAAACTCTACTCTAATACTATAAATATCTGAATATGTGTCTGCTATTTCATCACCAAGTTTAGGGTCTCCTTTGCTGTACCATTCTGCTATGAGGCCGATCACAACAGACGTTTCAAAAGGGATTTTCTAGCCGCACTGTTCCGAAAATAATCTACCAAGTCGGTCTGTTCGAGAATGGAATTGACAGAAAAGATAGCAACAAATCGGCGCCTACCTGTCCCACTTGACTGGAGAAGAGCGGGTCGCAGACTGTCTCCCAGCGTTGAGCAGTGCTGTTGAAAAACTGGACGAAGCCTTCATTGGGCTAAATAATTTGGGCAAACAAAGCATGATTAGTCCGAAAAAAGTTGTTAAAATAAAAAAACAAACACCTATTTCATTCCCACTTCTATCCGTTCAAGTGAAGAGCTTCGCTCGGCTGATTCTTGCCGATACCGGTGTGCTCTAGACTTGGCTCTACTGGTCGACTTGTCAAATCACTCTCTGTCAGGCTGCCCTTCGCAGATCTGCTGGGCAGATCTATTCGTCGTACGGACGAATAGGCAGGAGGGCAGGAATCCTGTTGTCTCTGGGACGATCAGTCCCAGGACTAGCCTATCAAAGAGTGAGTCGTGTGATGCACAAGACTTGCTTGACCCTTATCCGGATACTTCTGAGAGCCGTTTGATTGTCAGACAATTAAGCTATGAAGACCAAGATGTTGTGGCCTTTGATATGGTCGCAGTCTCCTTTCGATTTATAGAAGTGGTAGAACGCACCCAGTCCGAAGTCGTCTGCCATAGTGGTTGTCATGATTGCCAGCATCAGACAGTGGACTTGGTACATTATCAAACGTCTCGCCGGCATCATAGTCGGCATCATTAGTGAATTTTGATTAGTGCGGAGAATGGCAAAACTCACTGATGATTCTGGGAATCATGACAACTACCACGGCAGACGACTTCGGACTTGGTGCGTTCTACTAAATCGCCCTGACAATACGACCAAGTGGTGACTACGAGGTCAACCCATTTCAGACAATCAAGGCCTTCGCCCACCTCTTGTCCTCCGATCAGCCGAATTTGACGCTTTTGCAACTGGATCTTGCCGAAAACGAATTGTCTTCCTCCGCTCAGGCTGAAATCTGCCATCGTCTCGCCCATTGACGGCGAGTCCTCCATTTTGGCCACTCCGCTTCCTGGCGGCACCACATTTGGCGGACGTTGTCGCTTCAGAGCCGGGCTGTTGTGGTCGCCATCGGTGCCACCGGAGTCTACAGGACTGGGGCCCGCATGCTCGAGAGTCTGGCGGAGAACGTCCATTTGGATGGGGGCGCCGACCTCGCCTCTGGCAATTAGACGGCCCAACACCAAGAGGCCAATGTTCGGCGCAAACTCGAGTCTGACGCCTGATTCCAGGCGGAGCTCGACTCCCGGCATCACCGTAAGGTCGGAGATGACCTGACGGTGTGTGAATAGAGAAATCACAATATGAAGAGCCCAAATTGTAGATGCGTTCACCTCTACTACTACAATCGTTTACGCAGTCCACGAGACAGCCAGCCTCCTTTGGTGACGGGAAAAAAGAGTCGAGCATTAGCTCCTCACGTCACTTGGCGAAGCCGGATCTCGTTTGTACAAGCACCTCAAGAGAAGACTAAGTTATACAAGAGTAATTGTCTCTTCTCTACATGCTATGTAAACATAGAGCAACAACTTTAAGAGAGACGCAATCATGTCTTCCGTTTGCTCGGTAGGCCAGTGGCTTTTCACCATAATTGTCACAACCATGCATATTTTAACATACAAGTACTTGATGAACATAAAAAACTAAATTGTTTCATATATATATATATGTAAATATGTATATACGGTAATTATATATATATATATATATAAAGATATATTCATACCATTTTGATTAAGGAGTTTTTAGACTACCAGTAAATCAGTAATATGAGATGTATTAATCCTATTTCGTTTAAGATGATGAAGGACTGGTAGTAGAATTTTCCCACAATAATATGAGTAGAGCTGACGTTTCCATTGAATTTCACAGTCTTGCATTCGCAAAAGTTGTTCTCATCCTGGCTGGGGTGGACTGTCTTATTAACACCCCAGCGGAAGTCGAACCGTGACAATACAGAATGTGAGCTTGCCACGTTAAAGACTCGGCCCCATTGCCACGATGGATGTGCATTTAAAGGAGGCCCATGAATTTTGCCATATCACATTCTTTGGTGGGATTGTCGATGAAGCAAACGTATATTTGCAATAACAATCGATTAGGTTACTTATTTTTTGCATTTAAGTAGAGTTTAGAGACTACCAGTAAATCAGTAATATGAGATGTATTCACCATATTTTGTTTAAGGTCCTTCATCACCTTAATCGACAAGGAGGTCTTGTGGATTCATATAAAAAGTCAGTCGGTCAGTTGGTCAGTTTTTCACGGTAAGTGGAGTTTAGAGACTACCAGTAAATCAGTAATATGAGATGTATTCACCATATTTTGTTTAAGGTCCTTCATCACCTTAATCGACAAGGAGGTCTTGTGGATTCATATAAAAAGTCAGTCGGTCAGTTGGTCAGTCGTTCACGGTAAGTGGAGTTTTGAGACTACCAGTAAATCAATTATATGAGATGTATTCACCATATTTCGTTTGAAGTGATGAAGGACTGATTACTGATTTACTGGTAGTCTCGAAACTCTAATTACACACGAAAAATAAGTAACTTAATCGAGTGTTATAGCAAAAATACGTCTGCTTCATCGACAATCCCACCAAAGAATGTGACATGGGAAAAGGCCTGACCTTCCTTGAAATTCACACCTGTTCTATGACCCAATGGTACGTGTCAAGCTCCCATTTTTTACTGTCACGGTTCGACTCCCGCTGGGGGTGTTGATTACACAGTCCATCCCAGCCGGGATGAGAACAACTTTTGGGAAAGCAAGGCAACGTGAAATTCAAAGA